GTTTAGACGCTTTGTCATTTCACGTGCACAGTGCCGGATCTATTGTCCATTAAACCTATTGTTATTCGCATTTATAATGATAGTATTCTTTCAATCGAGGGTCCCTACTCGTAAAAAAGCGTTAGATTAAAAATAGGTAGGTACCCCCGCCAACCCTCGAAAAACCGTCCAAATTTTCAATTACTCGAACCTTGTAATTACTTCTCTCAACGAGAAATCATTTAAGTTTTTATCACCCGCGTCTACCTCCCAAGTAGTCCGTTCTCGTTGTAATATTTCATGAAAATTTTGACAAGTCCTAGGTCAACGACACTAATACAGGGTGAATAATTACCAAATCTGGTCGTACTTGTGATACGAACACATGTCGGCCCACCCCCTTGGACGGGTGGTGCACACACCCGATTATTATTCATGCAAAGCAATGCGAAGGGTGCACGTGTGCGCGTGCCGTGCCGCCAAAATGCCGCAGGATTAGCGATGGGGTGGCTATCGATATTAGGGACAGATGGACGCCGGAATTTACACAATCAGGGCTTTGTCTCAGGACAAGGGTTGATAGGCTTTTTAGCTTTTTAACGGCCTTTGTCCGGCAATGATATCAGCGATTTGAAAGGAAGCCGAAATTGACCACAAAAGAACCAAAACCGACTTTTTATACTTCTATATTCCAATAACACAAAGCGACAAAAAAGTCATGTCGTGACAACTTGACAAATTTTATATTTTATTTTATTTTGTTCGTCTCAGTAAGACAAATCAAATGCACTAAAAAAATTTTTAAAAGTCCACACACTTTGAACTAAATATTTTTTTTTTCTAATTTAAATGAATTTAAAATACTTTAACTTTAAAAAATCATTACTTAATAACTATTAGGCCGATTTCCTTCAAATAAAGACCATTCTAAAGGGATGGACTTGCCCTTTAGAATGATATGCAATTTGAAATTGAATATTGGCGAACTTTTCTTCGAACAGTGTTCGAAAAAGTTGAAATAATCTAAGAAAAACCCTACGAGTATTTTTTTTCTTTGTCACCATCGTGTAGAGCATCTTTTTATTAGTAAGAAGCCAAATTTTTAAAATAATATACCGAGTAGTTTTCAAGATATGATTTTTTGAAGTTAAGGTTTGCTATTCAGGTATTGCGCCATATAAGAGAAATGTATGGTAATCTTACTTAAAATTGCATTTTTATAAAAGTATTTATTTTAAGAATCTTCTTTTGCTTAAAGATGGTCAATTGCTCCTTCTTTGTTCTAATTAGAATAAACAAAAACTGTTTGTTTACTTAAAACAAGCAAAGAGTACCTGCGTTCTAATTAAAGCAAATAAAGAGTTTTTTTGTTCTAAATATGATCACTGATCATTGAGCAAAAAGGATCTAGAAGTTTAAAGCAGTAGCTTTAAATATAAGAACAAATCTTTTTCAAAGTAAATGACTTTCCATTCAGATTCCAACTTGTTCACTTTGTTCTAGCTTTCTAAACTTTTTTTTGAAAATGTTCTCAGCAAATGCTTTCTCATCACTTTCTACTGATGTTGAATGCAATAAGTCAGTTGCTTCGTGTGCAACTGTTATCACAACAACTACTACCTACAAGCTAACTGAAGCTAATCGTAGAATGTACCAACAAAATAAATCAGGTGACTTTTTACATTTAACATCACTCGAAAGTGGTGAGAAAGCATTTGCTTAGAACATTTTCAAAAAAAGTTCAGAAAGATAGAACAAAGTGAACAAGTCAAAATCTGAATGGAAAGTGATTTGATTTGAAAAAGATTTGCCCTTATATTTAAGGCTCGTGCCTTAAACTTCTAAATCGTCTTTGCTCAATGATCACTGGTCATTTTTAGAACAAAAAAATTCTTTATTTGCTTTGATTAGTACGCAGGTACTCTTCGTATGTTTTAAGTAAAGAAACAGTTTTTGTTTATTCTAATTAGAACAAAGAAGATGCAATTGACCATTTTTAAGCAAAAGAAACGTTTTAAAACAAATACTTTTATAAAAATGCAGTTTTAAGTAAGATTAACATGCATTTCTCCTATATGGCTTGATTAGCAAGCTTTAATTTCAAAAAATCATACTTCAAAAAATTAATTAATTAATTTCAAAAAATCATAATTACTCGGTATATTTTTTGAAAATTTGGGTTACAACGAATAAAGAGATGCTCTACACGATGGTAATAATGAAAAAAAAATTTACTCGTAGGGTTTTTCTTAGAATATTTTGATTTAAATTAGAAAAAAAATATTTTGTTCAAAGTATGTGGACTTTTTAAATTTTTTTAGTGCATTTGATTTGTCTTACTGAGACGAACAAAATGATATAAAATTTGTCAAGTTGTCACGACATGACTTTTCTTTTGTCGGCCTGTGTAATAGTATGTTATATCACAAGGTAGAAAAGAGAGTAGAAATTGATATCAAATTCTGTCAGATTTGAAAGTAAAAATTATAGGGGGCTCGCGCCCTCGTCTAGAAGTCACGCTATCAGTTTTTGTCGACATTTTAGACATCACACTATATGATTTGCAAATGTTTTGTCAAAATTATCGGGGACTTGACCCCCAAGTGGAACTAACACTATCAGATTTTATCTAAATTAATAGACTTTTTTTTATACCTCAAACTAATTTTTTATAGTTGAGCTGTGTATTTCTGATTATCAATAAACGCGAGGCTATAAAAATCTTCTCCACTGTGTTTTATATAATATGTTTTTCCCTACTAGCAAAAGTATCCAAAAATACAACGGTAAAAAATATAACCTTACTTAATGGGCATGTTGACTCCGACGTAACATTCACAACTTCTATTTTAAATTTTTTTACTTCTGTAACTACTAAAAGAATTCCCTAATTTCATAATATGAAATATTTTTGATTTGCAAATGTTTTGTTAATATTATTGGGGGCTTCGCCCCTAAATAGAACTCACACTATCAGATTATATCCAAATTAAGGGGGATCGCGGCTTCGCCGCTCGCCCCCCCCCCCCCTTTAGATCTCACACTATTTGATTTGCAAATGTCAAAATTATCGGGGGTTTCGCCCCCAAGTAGAATTTACACTATTGGATTTTATCAAAATTAATAGACCTCGCACTAATTTTTTATAGTTGAGCTGTTTATTTCTCTTTATTAATAAATGCGAGGCTATAAAATTCTTCTCCATCGTGTTTTATACAATAGTTTTTCCATACTAGCAAAAGTACCCAAAGATACAACGGTGAAAAATATAACCTTACTTAATGGACATGTTATGTTGCCATCGTAAATCACAACTTCTATTTTAAAATTTTATTTCACTATTTCCTACAATAATGAACTAATTAATTACTTACCTGAGTTATTAACTTAACTTGGAATTATTATTTTATTCTTATCGTAAATGAGGTTATGTCAAATTTTGTACTTCTACATCTATTAAAAGAATTCCCTAATTTCATAATATGAAATATTTGTTAAAATAGCAAAGGAACTGAAAAGAAAAGGGAAAAAGTGTTAACATGTGCCCTACCAGTTTTGACAGTTTTGACATAGACGGAAGATTTAAAGGTGGGATTATTCTGATGTTTGTTAATAATAAAGTGTACGTCATTTTTATTTGATTTTGCATTAATCTCATCTCGAAATACTTCCATTAGATAATAGTTTTAAATAATAATATTCCAGACATATTTGTATCAATAGAATACCCTTCATTATTGGTATTTACCCATCTCTAATCCATTATTGTCCTTTTTACAACTAGTACTGAAATAGTATATTAAAAAACGAGCAGCGAAGCGCGAATTTTATAAAGAACAAAATCCCACAAATGACTTATGAAACAAGTTTTTATTTTATTTTTTCTATTTTGCGCGTTTTCCGTACTTTTTTTACCATAAAAGACAATTTTTCAAAATGTAGGAACTTTTGCCTTAGTATTTTCAAAGTTTGAAAAATTCAATTTTCAAAGTGTCAAGTCAAAATTTTATTGAATTAACAATGAATACTGCAAATCTTTCATGCACGCCACCTGAAATAAGAAAAATCGCTGAAAACGCCGCTGAAAATGACCATTACCAACATCTAGAAAGTAAATTGTATTAGTCTGTTTCAGCACCCAAATCGGTTTTGGTATCGAAATAAGCTTTCTTTCAGACGCAAAATAGAAAAAAGCATTTTTCCCACATCTTTTTTAAACCTAATTTGAATGAACAATACCAACAACAATTATCTTAATATGGAAAGTAAAACAAGTGCGAGACCATCACATTTCTGGCTATAAAACCGATCTCTTTATAATGACAAGTCAATTCGGTCGACTCTGTTATTATTATTGTCCGACGTGTTAAAATGATTGATCATCAAATTCTGATAAAATGTTATTGACACCCGAATCGAGATTTCTTTCGAGCTACTGAGATAAGTATCATTCTGACTTAATAATAACAACGTTATCATTTTTTGTAATCAGAATCCTGCAACCATCAACACAGAATTATGCGAATTTATATGGAAACTTCCAAGTTTTGTATTTGCGCACGTTTGTTTGCTTTGGGATCAAATAATAATTAAAGTGAATTAAGAAGAATATTAACTTTTAAAGCCTGGATTATCTTGGTTTTGAGAAAAATCGTTCTCACGTGACCATAAACTTGATCCTTTGATTGCATAAGAAAAATGTAGGAAAAGCCTTACAAGTTCTTAATTAATAACACGAAGTAAGAATTTCGAATATTAAATCCAGGTGTGTCGAATTCACACTAATGGGATTCTAAAAGTCTTTTAATAACTTAATACGCAATATGTAAATGATAAATTCTGACAAAAGCGATAATTGCCTAAAGCTCTATAATTATACAAATGGGGGCTCACTTAATACGTCAATATATGAGATTTATATGAGGCAAGAGCGGTTTTAGGGTGACCAACCACTTATTTACTCAACTGAGCCGTGAAAAATATTTGTTATTTTTTGAGGTAAATTTTCCAAAGTGCGTAACCAAACATGGATTTCTCTATCTTTATTATCAGTTGTTTTGTTGGGTATAAAAACCGGGTCTTGGGTCCATTCTTCACACTTCAAAATGAACTCGAAAATAGTTGTTACACTAGTCTTGGCTTTCTGCCTTGTCCAGGTACGTACCTAAAATTTCTATGATTTTTTTTAATCAAAATTTAGGGCAACCATGCTGAAACCATCGACGAAGTCATTGCCGATATGACGACCCGAATTAACGCCATTAAGACCAACATCGATGGTATCATCCACGACGGTGGTAAACTAATCGGCCAGGCCCGGAAAACCATTGGTACCATCGTCGCCCATGCTGAAACCACCATCTACACCCAAATCGACCAAGTCAACAATGTTGTCCAAGAAGCCGAAGCTGAAGCGGCCCAAAAAGTCGTCGATGTTTCCCAATGTGTCAATGTTGTAAACGACGCTCTTGGTGTCCTTGATCTTCACAAACTGGACGCTTGTAACAATCAAGAAGCTTTGAACACCTTGAGGGCCAAATTGGGCAATTTGGGCCAACTCAAACACCAACTCTCCAGTGCGATTAATGGTTGTTTGGCCAAAAATCCCATCAATGTTGTGGCTTTGCGAAACTGTATTCAAGGGGACATCGACTCTGTTAACACCCAAGTGGTACAAATCCAAGAAGAAATTAATCTAGTGACAGCAGAATCGACCCAAAATGCCCAAAACTGTGCAAATTCGGCTGCGACAAGTCTGCTTCAAACCATTGACACCATCGCCCATGATTTCAAGAATTGTGTATCTGCTATTTTGTAAATTAAGAGAAAGAAAATAAAAATTCTTGATTAGAGTTTGAGCACGTTCTCACGTACTTTCCTCTATTTATTTCCCTAATCGCGTACAGATTTATCAAAGATGGAGAAAATCCCAGTGTTGGTGGTTATCATAGGGTGCTTTATTACGGTGAGTTACAAGAAGTTACAATATTATTTAAGGTACTAAAGGCACTAGTGAGTAAATTT